GGTACATCATTGTCGACTTTTCTTTACGGAGCCGAATATCTCAGTCGTGCCTGCGGAGGGGGAAAAAAGGGGAACCACAAAGGGATCCACATGCTTGCCTCCTGCATCATCATGTGGATCATCAACAGGTGCACGAGGGCTAGCCCCCAACGAGATTCTTTCAAAGAACAATCATGTGCTATTATCACGAGATTTCCTGAGACGCACGGTGATTGCATTTTGGCAGAATCTTGCTGGATGCTCACCCCGATGATCTCGATAGAGTTGGGGATTCACTCGAGCGTTATGATTGGTCCTACGCGAATTCCAAATAATTCCAAATTCACACGAACGGCGAACCGCAGCTCCACTTTTTTACTATAAACATTTTCTGTGGTTCGCCGTACGTGTGAATTTGGAGGTCACCTTTCCAAATTCGGCAGTTAAATCCATTTATTTCGATTTGGCGAACGTACGAACGGCAGTTAAGCTGGATAGGACCAGCCCTCAGTTTTGCAAAGGAGGCATTTCAGGTGGATACGGTATTCTCCCTCCGACTGAAGCTCAAGAAGCTTATCCGGCTTACCGTACTTAGTACCCGGTGTTTCCCTTGGATCAGGCGACGTGTCCGACTGGTTCCAAAAGCAAATTAGATCTTGGGTGGGACAGAACACAGGAAAACAAGAATGCGATCAAAAGAAGCTGTCAGCAGCCACGCACACTGGTTCTTGTTGTTCCTGCAACCTGCAGCGCCGCGTGGGCATTTCTATTCTTCTATTCTTCTCATTATCAATCAATCCGACCATGAGGGTATTGAGAGGTTTACTTCCGGTCGTGGCGGTGCAACTAGCCTTGCTGCCATCCTTCTGTTTGGCGGTCGAGGAAACAAGCGAGGAACGAGAGTTATCATTTCTACCCAGCACTGACGAAACAGAAGTTCATGATGTTCTGTTGGAGATTTCCGCCGCCACAAGTCAGGAAGACTTTGAGTCTGATGTGATTCACGGGAACGTCCGAGGAGGAAGAGAACTTGCCACATGCTACAGCTATGATGACTGCGGCAGCTGTTCTGAACTGTCGCGTTGCCATTGGTGCGATCATGACCAACGTTGCCATGTCAAGGGCTCCTTTTCGGGTTGCCTAGAGGGCAGTACGTGCTCCAGGGGCGACGATGACAAGAAGGACGCTTGCTCGCAGTACTCTACTTGTTCTGATTGCGGAAACTCTCATAGCTGCCATTGGTGTGCGCACGACGATTCCTGTCACAGTATCGGCAGCATCTACGGCTGTGTCAAAGGGGTGGATTGCTACTCGAACGATCGTTGTCGCCGCAAGGAACCAGAGCCTCTGGCCGCCGAGAAACAGACATTTACCAACATGGGATTCTTTCCATTGGGTGTTGCGGCATTCATTTCCAGTCTTTTACTGTTGTGTGCTTCCTCTTGTTTGTTCTGTGCCTGCAGAACAAGAAAGACACATGGTAGCGGACATTATGAATTACAGGCAGAGGACGCTGGTTATGCGCTGTTGACATGCGAAGAGGAGTCGGCAACATCATCATCCACCGAACCAGAGAATGAGGTACCACAGGACAAACAACCGGCTCCGGTACCCAATGTAGAAGAAGCCCTATCTCCAGAAGAGACCGGTGCCCGCGCCGAGGAAGACCCAGAGAAAAATTACCAATCCATGGAGGTCGAACAACCACAATCGCAAGGGCAACAGGAAGCTACTCCTCTGCTCACAGGAGGAGCGCAAGATAGTTCAGAGGAAATTTCTCAAAGCCCTACAAAGTGTGCGAGGAGGTTGCTGCATGTCTGTAC